ATCAGGGTTCATGTAGTAAACAATTCCTGGTCCATCGTCATGCTTAGTATACACTGGAACTCTGTAACGAAGTACGAATCTATGTACTCGCTTTTGGATTACAATTTGTGAGACTGGAAAGCATACATACTTCCTGACTTCCCAAATCTACGTGAGACATTTAAAACCTGAAATTTGTTAGGATGTATTATACTAGCAGTTTAATCATTGAGTTAAAATCGCAACAATATCTGAGTATTTAAACCATTGGAATTTGACGGAACGTAAGTTATATTTGAAATCAACAATTCCCTACCGGAAAGAGATCTCTATCCGACCAACGAAAAAAAGTTTCTGTCCAGTTCTATTTACATTGATGTGAGATTCAGTAACAACGCATCAGTAATATGTAAATAAAGTCGTTTGAATGACTGCAGTTTTCTATTTAATAAACTACCGGTCTGGATAATGCACTTTTTCCTCAAAGCAAGAAATATTTTAAACTCATCATTCTCAGTCAAAATACATGAAGTGAGCTGACAAAATATTGATTAGTCATGTACATTAAGATGTTGTACGGTTGATTAATAACAGCTCAACTTGTACAGAGAGTTTTCTTTTCAGAAATTTAAAACAATTAGTTCATTTGATAAGTTTCGAGAAGGCAAAGAGAAAACGAAGGTTATGAGGATTATGTGATATATTTGCACAATACATTTCGAACAGTCTGATCACACATAATTGCTAAGACATTTTTATATAAAAACTATAAGGTCAACTAGACAGATTAATGATAAGCCGTAACAAAGAAAAACAAAGTACACAAAAACGATGTGATAACCACGCTGGATAATAAATCAGTATTACTAGGGTAGGTTAAGGGTAAGAACAAATTGTTTTTTTGGAAGACATGAAGGGGATTCCAGTTTCCGTATAGCAAAGGCTTCAATGAACCTTAGTATACGTCCTTGAAGGCACATTGATAGGATTGGACGTAAGTGGGTATTAGACCTATGAATTTTTAGTTATCCATATAAACTGGGTACACCAAACTTATAGGTCTTAATAAATTAAACTCATCTTTATTAATAGAATTCATGTTTGACAATTTAACATCTAGTCCCATCAATATGTCGGTCACGTACGCACAACCTTGCAAAATGGTTTATAGAAGTATTAAACGCTATCCGAAATCAATTTTGTAAGTATTATTTGATTGACTAATGTGGATTAATTAAGTACTTAATGGATATGGATGTAAAAACAAAGACAATGAGCTCCTTTAATGTGAACATTTTATTTACAAATGTACCTCTTAGAAAAACTATTGATATTTTGTGTGACTATATCTCATTGAATAACCTTCCATTGCCATTTCCTGTGAACTCTTAAACATTCACAATTATTGTGAACTGATAATGTGAAATTCACTTTTGAGGGTGAGCACTTTCGACAAATCGATGGCGTAGCTATGGGTAGCCCTTTGAGGTGGTTTCTGGCTGATGTATTCATGAGATGTGTTGAAAATCTAGCTGAAGACTCAATTCAAAAGGTGTGTCTGTATAAAAGGTACGTTGATGACATCATAATCATAGGGGATAAATATGAACCGTTTGTACAAAAGCCTTCAAGGACGTATACTAAGGTTCATTGAACCTTTGCTATACGGAAACTGGAATCCCCTTCATGTCTTCCAAAAAAACAATTTGTTCTTACCCTTAACCTACCCTAGTAATACTGATTTATTATCCAGCGTGGTTATCACATCGTTTTTGTGTACTTTGTTTTTCTTTGTTACGGCTTATCATTAATCTGTCTAGTTGACCTTATAGTTTTCATATAAGAATGTCTTAGCAAGTATGTGTGATCAGATTGTTCGAAATATATTGTGCAAATATATCACATAATCCTCATAACCTTTGTCTTCTCATTGCATTTTCGAAATGGCTCAAACTCCAGTCAACTCTAATTCTAGCTATAACACTACGTTGCTCGAAACAGTGGTTAGTTGAGACGCATTTTAGGAATATTGGACTTCCACTTTATCTAAGAGACCCGTCCAATATTCATGTTAGTCTCAAGGTAGGTTTGTCATAATTCTATTTATTCACCTCTAAGTTTTGAATAGTGGACATTTGATCTGGACAATCAAAATCCTTTACATATAAACATTATCCTTGATTTCCTTCATCAATATGTACAATACATCTTTTAAACTTAGATATCCGTGATAATTTATCGGAAGCGGAACAAGCATGGTTTAAACACTATTGTAGTTGTTTGGCAAACTTCATGCAGGCTGATGGATCGGAACGTGGAGGCGGTGGAATGCTAGATTTAACACAATATCGTACACCACCAAAATCATTATTTCTAGAAGTCCGTTGTCTTCAAGATTTTGGCGAATTCGAAACAGAGGATGGCAGTATTTTACATTTAACAAAAGGTAGTCATCATTTAATGCATCGAACCGATTGTGAGGCTTTAATTCGTCAAGGTATTCTTGAACATATAGCAGAGTGAAATGAAACTGTCATGTGCAATTATTATAATGTCCTAAAAAGGAAATTATACTGTATATATTTAAATTTGTCATGTTATTATTTTCATGCGGAAGATTTTAAACAATAAAACACCAAGGAATGGGTTACACAAAACAAAATGACATCATTGTGATCATTTGGATGAGGAAAAAGTGTATGACTCGTCATTACATTTATAAAAACGGGTACGATATGTGAAGCTATGAAAACTGAGTAATACCACAGACAAGACAGATTTCGTAATACTGTTTATAAAGAATACAGTAGGAAACTACATCCAAGTCGCTTGTATTCTGAGTAGTCTAGAGACTACTTGTGTCACTGCGTTTCATGACCTGTGGGCCTTCAGTTTGCTTTTACTAATAATGTGGGATCATGAAACAAAAATCGCCAAAGTCTGTTAGTATAAATCGGACATATAAAATATGCGTCTTAATAGGGGTGGTTTTGATGTCTGTTTGTTGATTGCCACTGGTGGATAAAGTTATCTTAGCGCCATCTTGGTTTAGTTCTAATGTATCAGAAGGGGTTTTGTGGATATTATGGTAATTTTAATACTTGAGATCATGAGTCAATTGAAGCTAGGTCACCATGGAAAACCTGGAAGTAATGGGTGGCCGTTTGATCACAATGTGATTTCTAAATTGAGTAAACGGATACTATGGTGGTATGCGAAGATGGATAATGGCTAGCAGCGGAATCCAGGACGCGTGTTTCGCCCTGTTTGGGACTTGTCAGCTAGATGTACCTGCACCTCAGAATTGATGTTCACTCTAAGGCTCGAACTCAATACCGTTCGCTTCAAACGTCATCGCGTTATCCACTTAGCTACTGAGTCCTGATAGCCACTATGGTGAATTATATTTTCAAACTAATCAGTATCCTATGATTTAGTTCATTTAGATCTTTGAAATTTTGTTTGTGGCATTAGATTATTTTAGTTTAGCCTTTATGAAGCCTCCCATATTGGTTGTACAAACTTACAAATCTTCAATGATACTTTCAACATCAAAAATGATCTCTGGTCGTTAAATGTAATGGCAAAATAAAGTTAGTACTTCGAAACTAGATTTTGGTTTCTGATAATATATACCAAAGCTGAGTATCTTATTTCCGAATTATACTACTTAAAACTTTCCAAGTAGTTAATCAAGTCTACTCTGTATTTATTCTGACACAGATATTGGTACAAAGGGGCACCGAATACATATGTGCCACACAAATCTCATTCGATATGTGTGAGGGCTGTGATACTGCTCGGGTGCCCAAACCGAAGCAAGTGGTTTTCTTAGGGGGCCACACTCGGAGCCTTCAACCTAAAGGTCTGATCCACAAGGCAATGGAGCATCGTGAGGAGATGCAATCCCATGGTAGCCGGTGACCAACGATTGGTTCATACGCCCTTTGTTTCCTCAGGATACTGGAGCCCACGTGCACCATTGGTTTGGAACCAGGGTTTTCCAACTCCCCTAGGTGGACTCTCCATATCCACGAGCTTAGTCAAAGCGCCGGACATTCACTCTTCGTCCTCTCAAGTCCGTCAGCAACACCCTGCCACGAGAAGGCAGTGAGTAGGACTTCCCTAGCAGAGGCTATATACGCGCGGCCATGGGAGAGCATTTCGAGAAGGAGAGGGGACTTTCCCTACTCTCGGCTGTACCAGGGCATTCGGGGGCAACAATATAGTATACGCACTGATTTTCTCGTAGTTTGCTCATTAAGAATTGCATTAGATTACGTAGATTGTTATTTATTAGTTAGCTGATAAGTAAGTAGTTCGAGCCATTAGAATCCGCATGCTTGACTCTTGCTATGTGGTCTAAAATAATAATAACTGACAGTATTCACTTTTAAAGGTAAGTTTCTATGGTATTAGTGAGAATCATTGTTAATATTGTTTGTCAAATATTAGATTTAAACAGAATGAAGATTACGCAATACCTGGAATATTTATGTTTAGTGGAAATCATTTAAGGTTTCATACTCGCATGAATTTTCGTCGTATGCAGTTAGTTGGAAAATCTTAAGGAGCTCTCCCTAGTCGATTTTATTCCAAACAGTTATGTGAAAAAAGTAGTACAATGATCCATATAAACGAAAATTGACAAGTTAAATATTATTTAGCTATGACTCATCAGTGCTACAATATATAAGATAGCTTTGAATTAAAAACGGATTAATTCTATCATAAATCGGATAATCTAGGTCTGTCTCAGCAAGTATTCATGGGCTTATTCCTCATTATAAATGAATGTCTTGCATTTATCCACAACTTCTTAATCAACATTCACTCACTTATCGATTTTGGTTATCCAAGTTTTCAAATACTTTTGTGTTATCATTTTGCATATAAACACGTTATATTATTAGATAAAAAAATCTATTCCTCTGGCTAGTGGCTTTACTTTTGATATCAGTTCATTCTGAGGTTTCAGTCAATAAACCAGTATTGAGAGTACCCATTAACATTTTAAGCATCTGTATCCATGTAGACACTCTAATCTAATCGAAATAGAATACTATAGTTCTGTGTATGGAATGGCAATCTACAGTGCTGAAAGTAATTCTTACTAAATATATTTGCATAACCAATCATTCGACTACTCGTCGAATTGCATTCGTTTTCTGAGGTTTGTTATAATAGACGCAACAGCAAGAAGCACCTGACTATGGTTACATTAAAAACCAGAATAATGTTAAGCCTCGAGAAATTCACATTTGGACATTATGACTATCGATCGGCTAAGTGACGTTCTAAGAGATTTGGCAATAACTAGTCCAGAATGTTCAATTAACTGGTGCACATCAAAGCTATGTGAATATGAAAATTCGAAAAATATTTCTGACAAAGAAAAAACTGTTTGTTTGAATATGGAGAAAGTGACATGTGAACAGATTACTGCTCAATATCAAATAGATGAAAATGTGAATCATCGAAATTTACCAGATATAGATGTGTACGTATGGAAATTATGTATCTAATGTTTTTTTTTTCTTAATCAATTCTACAAATTTCACCGAACTAGTATCAAATTAATGTGATTGTCAACTTTTCTATTTTACATTCAGTTAGGACTCGATCAATCATATCAGCAAAATAACTTATGCTATGATTTTTTTCACATATATTCAATCATTTTGAGGCGATACAACTAGTGACATCATCGAAAGCTAGTTGTGTAATATTGTACATTGATGGAAGTTAGACATGTGAATCACTAGACCGTCTACTCGATGTTCTCAAAGCTAAGCCGCTGTCACGAGGTCTCAATGTCATGGTTTCGATCCTCGAGAGGATACCACAGTAGTAAAAAGTTCATACTTTTAATGATAACACTTTCATCTTCTGACTTTTCAGGGGTTGTTCTTTTACTAAGACGTTCACTTGTTGACTCTAAGTTTGGAGATAAAAGTTTTGCTTGATGAAAACGCTGACGAAATTCACTCTTTGACCACTTTAAATAATAATGCAACCATTTTTGGAATGTAGTTACCTTTCTTTCAAGTTCAAAATCTTGCTTCACGACTGGCTTGCGTCAGCTCATGAATAAATGACATTAGGTGAAGTAGTTGGACGCATCGATTGCTTTACTTATCTTGCCCGACCGTTGTTGCTACATTGACGTGGTGGTCGGGCTTGCCTATCGTGATGAAGCAACCGAGCTATACTGGCTGGAACAACCGTTCCTCAAGGTCCTACCATGTCAGACAGGTCGGTTGAAGAGCGGTAAGACTAAAAGCAACAAACCCAAGGTCCGAAGGCGAAGTCGTACTGCTGACTGTACAGAGGTGTGACAGCAGTAAGGTGTTTCCTTCAGACAACCAGCATGACAGCGATGCTGCCTTCCCACAAGGAGGGGTGGGGTTAGAAAAGGTCGACCCTAAAAATGCACACCTCGCCTTATCCCACGGATATCCGTCTCCGGCGGTAAGGTCTCAATAAGTACGGAGCTAACACAAAAATTACCCATAAAAAGATCGTGTGTGACCGACCTCAAGCAGTTGTCCCTTGGGCACTGCGGTCACGCTCTCAGGTCACTAAGACCACCTTTAATCCAATTTCCTTTTCAGGTACCTCCAGAACAACCCTTCCACGGTGTGGGCAACCGGGAAGTGATAACCGCCCTCATACTTCTAACAGCACTCAAGACCACTGTATTCATAATCAACCTCCTCTTCAATTCCTATTATTCCTCCTACATCGACTTTCAACTCTATATTTCCTCTCTCGGCTTCCACCTCAAGTGTCACCGTAGCCAACGATTCTAGTGCGCAAAACACTGTCCCAGGTCTACTGAAACCTCGCTCCAAACTACACATTGGAGCCTTCAACGTACGCACCCTATGTCAAATCGGTCAGCAGGCTTCCTTGGCTAAAACCCTAGAGTCTCTTTCCATTGATGTATGCTGTGTCTCCGAAACACGCATACAGGATTCCAGTGTGGTCATTCACTTGACCTCACCTCGGCAAGACGGAGAGCCAACGAGATACACCCTTCGTGTGTCTGGTGACCCGATGGCAAGTTCTCGTGGACTGGCAGGTGTAGGCATAGCACTAAGCATGAGGGCCGAACAAGCACTGCTAGAGTGGATCCCCGTCAACAGTCGTCTATGTGCTGTTCGGCTGAACGGCTACGTAAGAACTCGGAAGGATAGGGACACACGTCGTTGCCTTTTTGTCGTTTCTGCCTACGCTCCCACTGACTGCAGCTCAGATGAAGTGAAAGATGAATTTTACAGAAAGCTATCCGAACTTCTTCAGAAAGCTAAACGCTCAGACATAGTACTCGTAGCAGGTGATTTTAATGCTCAGATAGGCAGTTTAAACCAAACAGAAAGGCATTTAGGTGGATATTTTAGTATTCCGACACAGCGAACAGATAATGGTGATCGTCTGCTGCAGCTATGCTCAGACAATCGTTTATTTTTAGCAAACACAAATTTTAAGCATAAGGAGAGACATCGTCTAACATGGCGACCCCCTACACCAAACCAACGATGGACTCAAATAGACCATATTGCCATCAGTCATCGTTGGAGAGGGTCGGTAGAAGATTGTCGCTCATTCTGGAGTACCTGCTTGGACTCCGACCATGCCCTAATACGGGCACGCATCTGCTTGCGCCTCACTGGACGCAAAAAAGCCACATTAAAAAGACCCATTAGAACTGAGTTGAGTAACGAGAAAACCAAAAGTAGGTTCCAGGAACAACTGAGGTCACACTTAGGTAGTTGTGAAGACGAGGCTGACCCAGATGTTGCTTGGAAGGGCATACAAGCAGCTGTGGAAACAGCAGTGACATCTATTAGTGACTTAAACCACAGAGTTACAAGGAACCAGTGGATTTCTTCAAGGTCTGTCACACTGATGGATTCTCGCAAACTCGTCCCATCAGGTTCTGAACATGATGAAGAGCGTAAACAAATCAGATCTAGGTTAAGAAAAAGTCTAAGGAACGACCGTGAGCAGTGGTGGGTAACGAAAGCAAAAGAGATGGAAAAGGCGGCGACTATAGGGAACACAAGACAGCTTTACAGACTAATAAAAGAAACTGGAATTAATAAGTCAAGTGTAAGTGAGATTATTTCGGAAAAAGATGATACTCTCATCTGCTCCCAGTCCAGACGTTTAGAACGATGGGCGGAACATTTTAGAGAACAGTTCAGCTGGCCTTCAGCTACTCTACAACTACCCTCCATTCCCAGACAAAGTGAATGGAACATTGAAGTAGGTCCCCCAACTCTTGCTGAAGTTGAGAAGGCTATAGTTAATCTGAAACGAGGAAGGGCAGCTGGTCCAGATGGATTGGCTCCAGAGGTCTTTAAGGATGGTGGTCCAATTTTAGCGATTAGGTTGACTAATATTTTAGCTAAGATCTGGGAATTAGACGTTATCCCATCTGACTGGTCGCAATCACTTATCGTCCCAATATATAAGAAAGGGTCAAAATCATCCTGTGACAACCACAGAGGGATTAGTTTAACAAACATAGTATCTAAAATACTGGCCTCGATAATTATCAAACGCCTAACTAAGACTCGTGAACTACAAACACGAGAGAACCAAGCTGGCTTTAGACCTGGTCGTGGCTGCATCGACCACATATTCACCATTCGTCAGGTTCTAGAACACAGGCATACCTATCGGCGTCCGACGATGGTGGTCTTTCTTGACTTAAAAGCAGCATTTGACTCTGTAGACCGCGAGACTCTGTGGCAGTGTCTGTCATTGAAAGGCGTACCTCAGAAGTACATAAACCTTGTGAAGGCTCTTTACTCGAACACTACTAGTCGAGTCAGGGCTTATGGCGAACTGTCATCTACTTTTGCAACCTCAAGTGGTGTCCGTCAAGGCTGCCCACTTTCTCCATTTTTGTTTAACTTCATCATAGACCTATTGATGGAAATAACACTCTCGTCGACTGAATTCTCGGGTATTGATCTCCTTCCAGGAGGTCCACTTATCGACTTAGAATACGCAGATGACATAGTCCTGTTTGGTGAAGACGCTGACAAAATGCAGAGTCTTCTGGTAGCACTAAGCAACAATGCCAGAATGTTTGGGATGCGCTTCTCTCCCTCTAAATGCAAGTTGTTGCTTCAGGACTGGTCTGCGTCAACACCTGAACTAAGGATAGGGAGTGAAGTAGTCGAACGCGTTGACAACTTCACTTATCTTGGAAGTCTGATCAGCCCTAATGGGTTGGTGTCTGACGAAATCTCAGCACGGATTCGTAAAGCTCGTTTGGCTTTTGCCAACTTACGTCACCTTTGGCGGAGGCGAGATATCCGTCTATCAATAAAAGGACGAGTATACTGCGCGGCTGTCCGTTCTGTTTTAATTTACGGCAGCGAAACATGGCCCTTAAGAGTAGAAGACACCCGTAAGCTACTAGTATTTGACCACAGATGCCTTAGAAATATTGCTGGCATCTGCTGGGATCACCGGGTAAGTAATAGTGAGGTTAGACGCAGGGTATTAGGGAATGATGGTAAATCAGTTGATGAGGTTATGAATCTTCATCGACTGAGATGGTTGGGCCACGTATTACGTATGCCTGAACACCGATTACCGCGACGTGCAATGCTAACCGGTGTAGGGGATGGTTGGAAGAAAGTTAGGGGCGGCCAAACCAAAACGTGGCATCAGTGCCTGAAGTCACTAACTTCTAGTCTGAGCCATGTTGGTAGATGCAGACTACTTGGTTGGGGTCCGCGTGACTTTCGTAACCAATGGTTGGAGACCCTTGGTGACATGGCTCAGAATCGATCACAATGGCGTCGGTGTATACACTCTCTGTCTTCTCTTAAACTAAGAGATTAAGATCACTTCACATCTTTCTTTCTACGAACTAATTCTTTCTTCCTATACTATATCCTTATTGCAATCTTTCTCCTATATATTACCACCTTTGACCTAACCACTCCTATGAATCCGGTGTTCATCTTGCTGTGCTAATGAGGTATGGCAACCTGGGCCGATGCATACATGTGCCTGGTCCTACGTTGTAGCTGACTGACTGACTGATCAACTGTAACGCGTAATAAAGCGATCGATAAAAGTTAGTCAAAATAAAAGAGCAGTGTTTTTTTTAAATCGAGTAGATATGTCAACCAATATTATTCAGTCGTCATGACAGCAAACACTGATTTCAAAATTGACTTAAAAACTAAGTTGATAGTGCTTTGGTCAACATTTAGAAATAGACAGTATGGTGTGGATTATTTGATACTAATGAATAAATTCGGAAAATTAATTCCTCCACTAAGAGAAGGCACTTATACGTACCATAAACTGGTAATTTCGAATTACATTCTGTAGGATGATTTTGTTGTTGAAAATAACGAAATTTGTAGCAAAAGTGAAGTATATAATATAAAAGACTGGACGTAATGCTCTTTACTTCTGAACTATCATTTCATAATGCTCTGTCCACAAAATAAGACATTTCATGGTTTCGTGTGATACTAATAAGTGCGGATAAATAAACAACACTGCTCAAAAAATCCTCTTTTTAGAGACCCAGAGTGCCGTTGCAGCCCTATAATAAACAACACTACCAAACAATATGTTGAGCTCAAATAAATGTTATCACAAACCAACAGGAACTGGAAAACCGAGAGCGAAGACCTCTTACATTGGAGCACCATATCAGTGCACGCCGACGACATTCAAGACGTTGGGACTTGATGTGGGAACCGGAGAGGTGAGTGGCTACCAAAAGGGGTCATGATGTGAAAGTCGCGTGAGGCTAGTATCTGTCATCTCTTCAGGACTCTTTGTTTAAAGTCCTAGAGGTCGCGCAGCTCTGACTTGAAGCGCTATCAGATGTGGTTCAAAACATAAGCCAATAGTAATTCTGCTACAATTTTCTTACGTATTTTTCATAAGGACATGAGAAACCCAACCGAAAAAACCCTTTCATTGATTATTTCTCGCTGAATTTCATGTCATTAAATACAGTTCTTTTTCATTCATTTATAGATTGTACAATCTCTCTCCCTTCCTGTTCATAATATTGTCATTTAATTTGTGTGGAGCATACCTTTTCAGCTACCTACCATACCAAACCTTTCAGGTCAAGAAGAAAATGCGACGAACTACTGGGTCAGGTTCACACTATCCTATTTTATCAATTTACGAAACAGCATCATCTTCATGCATTACATGTGCCTAACCACTGTATACCTCAGAAGGTGATGATAAATGGTGGATGAGTAGGCTATTAGAAAACTAGAATAACCCAAATCAGAACGTGCCATTAATCCATGGAGTCATTGACAGCTGAAATAAGTTAATGTAAGGTGCAGATCAATCAGTCAGGATCTATACGATGATTGGAACTAGTGATTGACTGTCCGATGACATGGCACAAATGTATTCACTCTCATAAGAAGAAGTTTTTCTCTGAAATTAGGCTTTTACATTACTATTTGTTTAACAAAAAAAAGAAACGAGAATAAAATACGAGATTATAAGAATACAATGATAAAAGAGAATTTAAAAAGTAACAAAAACTAAAACATTATATCACAAAGTTATTTAAATCTATTAGATATGTAGTTTCCAAGTGAGAATATCATCGTTTTAGTAGAATATCAATGTCCTTGAACAACTACCATAGTGATATACCATTTACCTAACTTGCCTCAATATAAATATACTTATGAGTATAATATTGAAATGAATGAAGATTATAATAGTTGAAAAGCTTTGATGATCTCAATCATTTTAATGACAAAAACTAGATGAAATGACATAATAAAATATGATATCATACAATAAGTGATATTTTACGGAGAGAGGGATAGAGAAATAATACTTCGATAAAATAATCGCTTATGTATTGGTATAATGACTTATATGTAAACTGTAATCTTACATACTGCTTCACATTCTTCTTTGGTTAAAAAATTATTTTCATTTGCATCACAACCACCATAGATGAATTCTTCACAATTGTTTTTTGTGGATTCCAACCCCAACGACGAAGTTTTGCACGACATTTACCAGTTAATCTTGGTAATAAACAAATTGGATTTAGTGAATCGTGCACTAAATAAATGTGAAGAGATAATGAGGAAATAATAATTAGGGAATGGAAACCAAGATAGACATGAAAAGGAATAGAAGTATTTGATTATCGGGCTTTCCTTTCTTACTGTTATAGACTTATGCAACAGATTGACAAAGCTATGTTTTAAAAAAAGGGATAGTCAAGAATCAGACGAAATTTCACAGTTTAGTGGCTTGTTGATTTTCACGATTTCATAAACTACCTTGTATTAAACCCATAAACCTTTTTATTAAAAATTACAGAACATTGTGAATTAGGGAAAACCATAACACTTTTAACATTTAAATAGGTGAAATTCATATTTGAATATTCCTAACAATCAAGTCAACGGGATATCCATACTTGACCTTTGCTTTTTCGAAGTGAGCTCTCCAAGGAATTCCTGTTGCGAATTTTTGATATAAAGTAAAATTCTTCCTCTTACTAGATCATGTGTTCAAACATATTCTCCATAAAGTACCAAGCTTCTATCAGACCTTAAAGTTGGTACTTAATATGAATAAACGGTTTTCTGAATACATATACAACAGATGATGGCTGTTATCTGTTCCTTGGGTTGAGTGGCGAAGATATACGTTGGTTTAGCCTACAGACGTAGGCTACAATTACATATGAACACCTGATCTTCTAAAATCCAGGAAACCTAACTTTTACCCCATAAGACGTGCAGTGAGTGAGGAGATAGCAAGAAACAACAAAGGGGAAGTGTATATCCTTTTTTTACTTTACCATTTGATGAGGCTGAGCTCACGCTATTGTGGATAGAACTCCATTTAAAAAGAGCTCATTTGTCTTTTGAATCTATGAGTATACTTACATCAGCACATTCACGAAATTTGATGTCAAGTCTTTAGATATACTCCATCTCCATATTAGTTGGGTGGGGTTTGATGAATGACCACTGCAAGATATTGTATCTCAGTTTGATAGACAAAGTATACATTATGGCACAAGATCAGTTTTAGCTGATAAATCCTGTTGCTCGATTCGAAATATGGTTCGGATACTAAGTGCTGTAACATGTAGTTTGGGATATGGGCGTGCTAGCTATTTATCAGATACATACCCAAGAATTAAGTTGTCCGACTTTGCCCACAATCTTCAGATTAATTGCTTTTGGTCAGACCACTATCTTATTAAACTGACTGGCATGATAGAACACGAAATGTTCCAACAAATCCAGCTTGACTAGTTTTTCATGACAGGCAAGCTTGAACTCAACATCAGGGTAGTGGCTAGGGTCTCGAGATAAAATAATATTACATGCGAGCTCTAGTATTCGAAAGGAATGGATCGTGTATTGAAAGGTCCTGCCAATTTTTTGTCAAGAAAATCGTATTCCTGACAACGTCCCACTTTGTGAAAGATGCGAAACAGTGAATAACTTAAAAGATGGTTCAACGTGGAAAGCATGTGAATATCATAGCCATTGCGAAAATTTTATTTATTTGAACACATAAATATTAGTACAACAGGGCGCCAAATATATATGCGCCACACAAAACAATGAGAATTCGAAGAGAAAAAAGGTAAGGAGCGTAAAAATAAGAACAATAACGAACAGATTAGCGCAAGGTAGTATAATTATAATAATAGTAATAATGGGGGAAACGGAAAGGTACGATCAGAAGAAATAAATGATAATGTCTACAAGGGATGGTGTACCGTAATTTTATTTATTTGGACACCCAAATACTGGTACAAGGGGGTACGAAATACATAAGCTCCACATAATAACGGTGAGGTTGTGAAGAGATACAGAATGGAGGGTATAATAAACGAAGAACAACAATGAACATAAATTAGTGTACGATAGTGAGATAATAGTAATAATGGGAGAAACAGTTAACAAAAATACAACCAGAAAGAATTCTTTCAGTCGAAAAATCTACGTCCATTTTTTATGAAGTAAAAGAAAGTGACAGCAGCATCGCTTTGGCTTCTATTTTGAGCCATATCTCATAACGTCTGTAGCCACTGTGTTGCACCATCTCTAGGACCGCAGCCAGGGAGTCGTGAAGGTCCAACAGAAGCCAGCCCTTTGCAGTTTTCTTTCATACCACGACACCATATCATACACTGACCACCTCTCCGTTTTTTCCAACCAGTCCCAGAGTCGGCAAATAATGCACGACGTGGAATTCTCTGGGACGAAACTCGTAGAACATGTCCAAGCCACCGAAGTCGGTGTTTCAAGATGGTGACACCAATTGAATCATTATCTCTGTGCCCGAACACACGATGCCGAACCTCTGCATTACTGACATGGTGTTGCCACTGGATGTCAGCAATCCTTCGGAGACAACGATGATCGAACACAGAGAGTCGTCGAACGTCCTCAAATCGGAGAGACCAGGTTTCACAAGCATAGAGCAAAACTGCTCTCACCGACGCGTTGTAGATCCGAACTTTTACAGCCAGACTAATATCACGAAGGCGCCAAAGGTGGCCCAGATTGGCATAAGCCACTCTGGCTTTCACTATACGTGCATTGATCTTATCACTCACGCCACCACCAGCACTTATGCAGCTACCCAGATACACGAACTTCTCGACTACGTCTATCTGCTCACCATCCAAGGTGAGTACAGGATCAGGATCCTGCCAGTCTTGTAGAAGTACTTTGCACTTCGAAGGTGCAAAGCATATACAATACCTACGGACAATGATTGCCAACTTATTAAGTGCGGATTGCATGCCTTGGGCATTATCGCACAGTAAGACAATATTATCCGCATACTCAAGGTCGAGAAGTCTTTCTCCAGGCAACAGAACCACACCGCCATTACTTACATCCATCAGAGCTGTTTCCAGAATGTTATCGATAGCAAAGTTGGCAAAAGGGCCGGAGGTAAGTCATCTAGGCCCGGTGATTTGTAGCGCTTTAGGAGTTGGAGTTACCTGCGGACTTGCGCCTCACTTGGTGGGTCAGTCGTCACCGGTCATGGAGGGCAGAACAGTCCGACCGATGTTGCCAGAGCTGCAGGCCAGTTTAACTGCCCTTCGAAGAATTCTGCTCATCGTCCAAGACGTCGACGGATGTTAGTGATTGGTATCCCGTCATCCTCACAGATTGTTCCGCTCACACCAGACTCCTTGCTGCCAGTGGCTCGTATGAGTTGGAAGAACTCGCGGTAGTTACCAGATGCAGCTGCTGCTTCCAACTCATTAGCACACTCCGACCACCAAGCTTCTCGGTCCTTACGCAAGCTTTGCTTAATTTCATTGCGTAACAGCCTTCGTTTGTGGTCAAACTCACGGTCACCCGGAGTAGACCGATGGGCTTCGATGAGTTGTAAGGAGCCTGAAGAAACCCAATGCTTATAAGCGGGACGTTTCGCGAAGCTGCGAGCGGCTTTACTCGCCATTTTCATGGCGTCATGAAGTTGCAACCAATGCTCATCCATACTTTTCAGTGGGATGGTAGCTAGCCTAGAAGCTAGCTCGGTTCGATACTTACTTGCAACAGAAGTTGCAACCAACTTGCTGACATCAATCCTTTGGTGGCGGTCACTTCGTTGTCCACTGAAAAGTAAGGTAAGATTGGCGCAGACCAGGGCATGATCCAAGTACAGATAGGTACTCCAAAAGGAGTGGCAGTCTTGTACACAACCACGCCAGCGGTAGCTGATCGCGATGTGATCAATCTGAATCCAGGAGTGAGATGCAGAGGGAGGACGCCAGGTGGCATATCGGCGATGACTGTGCCGAAAGTTAGTGCTAGCCAGAAACAGGTTGTGGTCTGTGCACAGTTGCAGTAGACGATCCCCGTTATCTGACCTGCGACCAACGAGTTCCCATCGGCCACCTAAACGACTCTCTTCTGTGCCTAGACGCCCGACCTGAGTATTCAAGTCGCTGGCTAGTACTACAATATATGTCGAACGCACTTTCTAGAGAAGAACAGATAACTGGTGGTAAAACTCATCCTTGATTGCATCCGGGCTGCAATCTGTCGGAGCATAGGCGGAGATGACGAAAAGACATCGTTTCTCACGCCGATTTCTGCCTCAGCTCTAGCGTTTAGTACGATACCAACGCCAGCAAGACCAGACGAAGATGCCACGGTGTCCCCGGATAAACGCACATAAAACAAGCTTTTCGAAGCGACAGATGGAGAGCGAATTTGTAGTACTTCACCAGAGCCTTGAATACGGGTATCGGATAGACAACAAACGTCGATATTAAGACTTTCCAAAGACATAGCCAGCCCTATCTGTTGTCCGATCTGCATAAGTGTGCAAACGTTGAAGGTAGCCAGTTTGGATGGTGCAAGTGGTTTCAGAAAACCTGCTTCAGTATTCGTATTTGGTGGTAGCATACAATTCTCAACAAGGCAGTGACTCGAGAACGTTTAGATAGAACCGGGTATCCACCATAGGCGAGCTGATGTATAAGTCGAAAAATAAGGATAGACAGAGTGGGAATAAAAGAGAATGAATAAATGACGTAAATAATAATAATAATAATAATAATAATAATGTGAATCGTTTGGTTGTTAATCGAAGCAAGACAAGTATTTTCCATAAATATCGACAGTTCATCATATTTGTGTGAGGGCTGTGATACTGCCCGGGTGCCCAGACCGAAGCACGTGGTTTTCTTAGGGGGCCTCACTCTGAGTTTTTGATCTAAAGGTCTGATCTACAAGGCAGTGGAGCAACGTAAGGAGATGCAGTCTCATGGTAGCCGATTGGTTCATGCGCTATTTGTTCCCACAGGATACTGGAGCCCATGTACATCATAGGTTTGGGACATTCGCTTTTCGTCCTCTCACTTTTGTAAACAACACCACCGCCACGAGAAGGCAGTGAGTAGGACTTCCCTGACAGAGGCTGTATACACGTGGCCATGTGAGAGCGTTTCGAGAGAGAGGGAGGGAGGGCCCACCCCACTCTCGGCCATACCAGGGCATTTGGGGGACACTGCAAAATGATTACATGAAATACAAAAATTAAGATTTTCGATTATTTATGCAACTTTCTGAATACTTTTGAAATCGACAACATAACGAGTAACTTAATCAACGTTCTCGCAACCCGAGAAAAGACATCCTAGTTTCTACTTCAACTTTTCACTGTAGGAGACTTTGGTATGTTCTTTGAGATTATTTTCAGCTTTTGATTTTATTTTTTGACACCTCATGTTATAACTATGCGCCACGTGGTATCAACTTTATGTTTCAACGTAATTCAAAGCAACCAAGAATCAAATCCAGTTTAGTGCAAACTTCTAAGGGTATTTGGGAAAAATGCTGTGACCCAAAATCACCTGGTTGTTATAAATTAACAGAACTACAGGAATGATTTAGGGCAGTAAAGTATTTCCATAAATTTTAAACTTTACAGAATACCATATTTAGTGTTTTTTTCCTTTCTTAGTAGTGAAGTTGATATCTTTTGTTAACAAAAACGCTTACTTCCGAGTAGCGATCATCAAGGACTGTTCAGGACGCTGCGATTATGAAGCTGTTAAAATATTTTTATTAAAAGCCTACTTAAGATACATCAGTGGCAAATTCCAAAATGGAATATCAAGGAAACATTAATAGTCGGCAATTATTCCCAAATGCTATTATTACTGACATATATATTGTAGTTCCACCACTAGGTTAGGTGATAAAAACAACTGACAAAATACTTTGATGAATTCAGACTTGACAGAGATCATCCAGTAGCTCGTTATTCACTCGCAACTACGTCATAAACAACGAAACACAAAATAAACAGAAATAAGCCACAGGTATTTATTTATATCTTACTCCCATGTAATTAAACTATTGGATATAAAATACCTTCCACGGACTGAAATAGTTAGGAAATTAACATGCTCGTTGGTATAGAAGTCTATTGAAAAATGATAGGAACGAATAGACCAAGACGAAGCAAGCAAACATAGGTTTGTTACATCGACTTAAGACGCTTATTGCTTTAGCTTATGAGAAAGTCAAATGCATAACAATAATATTATAAATATGAGGCGAACTTACAAATACATGGATATTAGTGTCAAGTTAGAATTAAAACAAACGAAATACTTAACAGACGATATTTAACATGATTATATATTTAGTGGGTTTACACAAAACCCTTAATAATACGAATGAAAAATCAGTCTTTATCAACCATTTGAATATTCGGCAGTGTTGAGATGGAATTTCCCCTTAAGTATTATGGCCCTAAGTACTTAGTACAGTGTTCCGGTAAGTTATCTCAACCTTTCACAACTTGGTATAGGAAATCCAAGCCCGAATAAATGGATGTTGACTTTTGAATGTCTTGAGAATACCATGTCGAATCGGCATTTTAAAGAAAAATCAAAGTGGAATAACAAGAAAATGAATCTAGTTCCAAACTTACCGTTAATATGTGAATGATCACTCGAGTAAATGTGCATGAAGTAGGATAAAACCAGTAAAAGTATCAATGTTACAATAATTCCCAAGCCAATTAGCAACGCAGATAACGCCCGTTGACGAGGAATAACTTCCCGTCTGTAGATCATCGCTGAGCTTGATGGAGGTTGAAAATCAGACCAATGAGACTCCACAAGAGACTCTTTTTCTTGAGCCATTAGAAAACAATCAATGTCTACTGAGTATTCAGGATGAGGATATGTACATATAACTCCGAATTCGTTAGCCTTGTGATCCGATATCCAATATTTTGGTCAAGATCTTGCATAAACCGATTGATTTCTTTGTGCTTTCTATATGTAGATTATTTTTCGGCCCGGAAGATATTTTCGGACTCGCGTTTCGTTAGAAATTTAAGTGAATCAAACAACGTGAGAACGGATAGTGCTCACTGTTTGAACTTGGAACTACACCACGAAACTTCTCGAAAGACCTAGCGGAAATTAATTGCGTGCAAAGTACCAACTGGTTTAAGCCTTTTCGGTTGTCTGTTGCGAGGTTCGGATTGCGCGCGTCCCTTTAAGTGGAAGACTTTGATCACATTGCTTTAATTCCGTTTCGCTCACCAAAAGCTACTCACCATATTTCAATTGAAAGCTTTTCGGTTGATATCCGTCCGGCTTTTGGTGTTTTTAGAAAGGGTTATCTCATTTGTGTTTTTCTCTGGTTTTGCATAAGCGTCTTTCTGTATAGTCGTCTTCAGAAGAAGGTTTCAGTATTCCTGCATGTGTTTTTGTTAGTTAGTAGTGTTTTGCCACCTATAACATCTTATATAGTGATTGTGGTAAAGAACATAATAAAACCTGCACTGGACTGAGTCTGAATGCCCTTAAACAGTGTCTCAATTCACAGACATGGTAGCAGTGTAAAATGTGCTGTCCTACAAATTCTCTTAAGATTCAAAATTCGATAGACGTGCTGAAAATAACTTTAACGTGACTCAAAGACACGAGGAGGCACTTTACAAAGCACAGGTTTTTCGAAGCAGACGATCCTGGATTTGTGGCCTGAAGACACCCTAGTCACGTATATTTCATTATCTTGTTGCTCCAAACAGGCAAAAGAAGCAACGAAATGAAGAAGCAGAACAGAGATGGCTAGCGCCTCAACTTTTATGCTACTAGTTACACCCCGTAACAGACGATAGGTAATGTATCACAGAGACAGACAGTGGATGAAATGACGAGTGAAAGACCAACTCACACAACTAAACACAGGGTGCATAGGCGTGGAAATACATGGACATACAAATAAGACGTAGATTGCGCTAAAGGTAACAATTTACCATAAAAGCAATAATTTTATGAATCTGGAAACGTATCAATAATCACATGCCGTCTGAGATAACGTCTGCTCAAAAGTTAAGATGAATCATGTGGGTTGCTATTGTTGCCATGCAACATACAAATCGGAAGCATGACAAACGAAATTCGGTTGATAACTATCGTGATTTGTAGGATTGAAAGATTAAACTTTATTGATTGCAACTTCATTATCAACTTGAAAGACACCTTATCCATAGGTTCTCATGAGAAAATGGTACATAACGTGCAGCTTGGTGCTGTCAAGTGCAAGACGTCAGACTGCTTGCGGTCCACATTAGCCTGGTGTGTAAAACGAATGATTTTCGTATCAAAAAACTGTATTTATGGTAAAATAAGCTCAGAAATCGAGTGGTAGGTGACGTGAATGCACTCCCCATTACTAGAACAAACAAAAAGAGGAAAGTATAAGTTCAGATTCTCTACCGTCTCAGGAAGGTGTACCACAAGGAGCTGTTCTTTCACCTCTTCTATTCTCTTTTTTTCTGCATGACCTTCCATCTTCCACAGAAAACACTTTTGTGAAATATGCGGATGATGTTACTGTATGTATGCCTATCTCTTCCTCTTTACATCCCATAGAAATGAATGAGTTTTTGTCTCGTATTGATTGTTGGTCTGTTGGTAATGGTCTCATACTTAATCCGTCTAAATGTCAAGCTGTTAACTTTAGTATGAGACATGAACGGAATCTTAACACCATTTTGAGATCCCATAATGCTTGTACCATCGGAGACTCTTTGATATACACAGTGTCGAAGGTCAATTATCTTGGTGTCACCTTTTCCTCTGATCTGTCTTGGTCTTCCCACGTTTTATTGTTATCAAAGAAGGTTTTCCGTCTGACCTACTACATAAAGAGATTGCATGCTCTTGGGATTACTCGTCATTTACTCTTACAATTTGTCAATTCTTGCATATTACCTATTATTCTTTACTGTTCTCCATTATTCTTTCCCGGGCTTTTGAGGAAAGAATTTGCTGTATTGCTGAGAGTGCTGAAGGCAGTCAGCAAGACGTGTGGTGAATCTTTCGAGATCATAATTAATATGGTTGTGGATAGAGATTTAAAATCATGCAAACTCCTGGTAAGTGTTATTTTATCAGATACTAGCCATCCCCTTCACTCTTATATTTCTCCTTGTATATCTTCTGGTAGAATGAGACGTAATTACATTAAAATCCTTGCACGCAAGGAAAAGTATAAAAGTTCTATAATACCTTACCTAGCAAATATACTCTGTGACGAACAGGTTGTTAGAATCAACCTAGTCAATAACTTACATTTTTAACATGTCTTTAATTTTAAAAGTTTGTAGTTTTTTTTGTTTTTTTATGTTTCTTTTTGTATTTTCTACTGCCTTTTTGTTCGTTAGTTCAGTAAGTAACTTGTTGAAATACCCTGTGCTGAGAATTCTATATTGTACCAAAATATAATATTGAATAAAGCCATTAATAATAATAATAATAAAAACCTTGATGTAGTTAGTTCTATTCAGTCACATCAAAGATCTCAGTCAACATAAATACCAACAATATTCGACAATTCTGGGCTTAATATTCAATTATAGAGTCGATATTAGACAAACCAATTACTTGCCACATGCAAGGAGGATTGACCATTCTCTCAGGCTCATCGTTGCTATAATCTACCGAACAGATGTTTCGACTCTTGCCGAAACATAGATGCTCAAACTAATGTTGATTAACTCCATGTACAACATCGATTACCACACAGTTAATTCGGAAGCAGCAGTTGCAGCAACGTGGAGACAATTCTGCTCCCAAATGCCCTGGTACGGCCGAGAGTAGGGAAAGTCCACTCTCCCTCTCCAAATGCTCTCACATGGTCGCGCGTATATAGCCTCTGCAAAAGAAGTCCTACTCACTACCTTCTCGTGGCGGGGGTGTTGTTTGCCAAATTGAGAGAACAAAGAGCGAACGTCCGGCGCTTTATCCGGATTCCGAACCAATGGTGCACATGGGCTCCAGTATCCTGAGTGAACGAATGGCGTATGAACCAATCGTTGGTCACCGGCTACCATGGGAATGCATCTCCTTACTATGCTCCACTGCCTTGTGGACCAGACCTTCAGGTCGAAGGCTCGGGGAGTGGCCCCCCAAAAATGTAGTTGTATTATATACAGTCAAAAGCTAAACAGTACAAACACGGTATGGTTATACAATTTCAAGAATAATTTATGCAGTATTGCAAGTTAGAGATAACCGCCAAATGCCCTTGTACGGCCGAGAGTGAGGAGAGTTCGCTCTCCCTCTCCAAATGCTCTCACATGGCCACGCGTATATAGCTGTAACAGCTTAGGTTGGTTGGTTAAGAAGTGACCCCAAACAACCAAGCATATGCTGAAACAGTATTGTTCAAGTATTCATTCACTTCCTTATTTTTTATAAGCGTTATATTCCCTATTATCTTATATTGAATGTTGAGAGCCTTTGTTTGTCTGAACAGATAATCCCATGCTCCACTGTCACCGCGCTAAGATCGAAATAAAGACCTATTCACTACTTGTCTGGTTTCTTCTATCAATAGCACGAGGGTTACTTCAAGGCACGAAATTGGTGAGCCCTTTTTGAACACAAATTTAACCTCATTTTTGTTATTAACATTTTTTGTACTCAATCGTAAAAGTAGACCTGATTATCCGTAAACTAAGTTGGATATATAAATAGTTTTTTCTTTATTACCTTAAGTTATTCGTGTTATAGAAACCATTTTTCGTGCTAACTTTATTGCTATATTTGTCACATACCTCATGTCAGACTCAATAGAAACCCATAATCTGGAGGATTTGTCACCAGTGGAGATAGACACTGTTATGACTACGAAATCCCGACTTCCAGAATTTGATCGTAGTGATCCTGAGTTGTGGTTTGCTCAACTAGAGCATTATTTCACGAGACACAATATCAAATCTGAAGGGATTCGCTATAGAGACTTGTGTTCTATCCTTCCTCCTTCAGTCGCCAAAGAAGTCCGTGACTTGATTTTAGATCCACCATCACAACAACCATACACCATCTTAAGACGAGAGATAATGAACCGTTTATCATTATCAGATAGTCAAAGAATCCAAAGACTTTTTCAAGGTGAAACACTAGGTGATCGGTCGCCGTCACAGTTTTTACGTCACCTCCAAGTCTTAGTGGGTGATAACACAGTGGGTGAAGCAGTCCTAAAACAAGGATGGATACAAGCTCTCCCATGCTACGTCCAACACTGTTTGGATGCACAAGATCCTGAAACCTCATTATCTCATTTAGCGCGTATAGCCGACAGAATAATGGAAAGAGGTCCTCCAACTGGATCAGGCACAATAAATCACACACAAAAAGTAGAATCAGCAAAAGACCCCGTAATAGAAGGACTCATTGCGAGTGTTAAGAGTCTCACTGAGGCTGTCACCAGAATGCAAATGGGTCATAGAAACAGGAGCAGGTCACCACAACGACCACGATCCAAGTCACAAATGTCCAGACAGTCTGGGCAGTTTTGTTGGTACCACTGGAAGTTTGGTGTCAACTCAACCAAATGCGTGCAACCATGCGCCTGGCCTAAGCATAATTCTAAGACAGCGGGAAACGAGTAACCCCTCCCCAGGTCGCGACGACTGAGGAGGGGCGCCTAAACAGTCGCTTGTTTTATGTTAGAGACAGAAACTCTGGCTTGAATTTCTTGGTGGATACTGGCGCTGCTCTTAGCATCATCCCTCAAAATAAAACTGAGATTAGTCGAGAAACATCACCAATTACACTTCAAGCTGCAAATAAAACTAAAATTGCGACATTTGGGCAGAAAACTTTAACCCTAGATTTGG